CTGGGGCTGGATATGGTTGGACAGGACCAAGATGCACACCAAAGTCTGCTTTTCCAATGCCTGGGTTCAGAAGCAGATCATGCAGACTCAAAGCACTCTGAAGTCTGCCTCTGTCTGCCTCTTAACGAGCCTCAGGCTGTAGAAACTCCTCTGGGTAGGGTGAGTTTTCCAGCAAGGTGGGGTAGTTGTCACCACCCCCCACATCAAAAGTAGCAAATTTTCTGCTGGAGAACGATGCCCTCTGCAGTATGGGGGAATGACTCAGCACAGGAATCCAGACAGGTACCTNCGATGCCCTCTGCAGTATGGGGGAATGACTCAGCACAGGAATCCAGACAGGTACCTTCTGAGCTCTATCTCCAGAGCCCACAATCCTAGATTCTCCTCACACAGCTCCAGTTCACTCTGCCCTCCCTCTGCTGGAGCCCAAGGTGAGTGGCTACACATGACACTTTGTGTGTTGGCCCTATAAGAGGATGCCTGCAGTACTAGCCATTTCTCCCGGGCTGACAGAAACCCTGCTGCTTTTCACAGCCAGATGTTATGTGGGCACCTTTCTCAGTTCTGGTGCTCTTGGCTGGGAAGCCCAGCCTGGGATTTAGACCCCAGAGTCCTCAGTGGGAACCCCCCACAGCTGAGATATCCCTCCAGACCTTCAGTTGCTGCCTGCGGGAGCCCAGCCAGCCTCTCGTGCCTCTGCATTTCCTACCAGTTTCTATGTGGTCTCCACTTTTCCTCCTTGGTTATGAGGGTGCTCTCCAGCTCACCTTCAGTTGCAGTTGATTATTCAGGATGTTTTTTCTATATTTTAGTTGTAATTCCAGTTTGGTCCTGAGAGAGTGTCAGTGTAGCTTCTACTCAGTCTGCCACCATTTTTAATCCTTCTGTCATTATTTTTAAAATAGGTTTTTAATTCCTTGCTCTCTCTCTTCTCCTTCTGGTATCCTGATGATGTGAATGTTGGTATGCTTGAAGTTGTCCCAGAGGCTCCTTACACTATTGTAATTTTGTCTTCTTTTTTCCCCTGTTCTGATTAGGTATTTTCTGTTTCCTTATCTTCAAATCACTGATATGATCCTCTAATTTATCTACTCTACTGTTGATTCCTTGTAATGTATTCTTCATTTTAGTTAGTGTATTCTTTATTTCTGACTGGTTCTTTTTTATGTTTTCTGTCTTTTTGTTAAAGTTCTCATTAAGTTATTCTACTCTTCCTCTAAGTTCACTGAGCATCCTTATAACCAGTGTTTTGAACTCTGAATCTGATAGATTGCTCGTCCCCATTTTGATTAGTTATTTTTCTGGAGTTTTGGTTGGTTCTTTAATTTGGGACATGTGTCTTTATCACCTTATTTTGGCTGCCTCCCTGTGTTTGTTTCTATGGATCAAGGAGTGCTACTACATCTCCCAGTCTTAGTGGAGTGACCTTATGTAGTACAATCAAACCTCAGTTCTTGAGTGTCTCCCAACTTGAATAGTTTGGCTCTTGACTAACTTTGTTCATGGAGTGTCTCAGTTGCCAAACAAAACTTTGATTCTTGACCCAACGACCTTTTCATGCTGATACCTGTATGATCAGTCACATGTCTCTCGGGTCACAAACAGGAGAGAATGTGTGAGTATGAGTCAGTTTACTGCTAAATCTTAAGTCATTAACCTCTCAGGAAATTGTGCTGTGAATATTTTCATGTTTTCTTGCTACTTTTTATTATTAAATATGTATAATAAGTCACCATGGGTCCTAAGAAGGTTAATGATAGGGGTAAAGTGAAAAGAAAAGTTGTGAGAACAACAATAGAACTTAAAAAAGAAATAACTGCAAAATAGGATAGAGGTGCTCATGTGTCTGATTTGGTTACCTAGTATGGCATGGCAAAATCGACTTACCACAATTTTAAAGCATAAAGGGGCCACCAAGAGTGCTGATGTTGCTAAAGGTGAGAAAGTGCTCATGAAACAATGGTCACAGGCAATTAAAGAAATAAGAAAATTATTGTTGATTTGAATAAACAGAAAACAGCTGGTGAAAACTTTTTGGAGGCAATAGCTCTCAACATGAAAGTTAAATTCTAGTTTTTACATAAATTTTCATCTTTTTCTGTACATTTCATTTCCTTTTTGTTAGTTTCACATCCTTTTGTTTTTAAAGTGTTTACTTGTAGATTAAATGGTACATTAGACATGTACCATATATAAGGTTAAAATGGAATCATTTGGGGGTCTGGAACAGACGAATTCAATTTATATTATTTATAATGGCAAAAAATGCTTCTTTTTTTTTTTTTTTTTAAACAAATCACCTCTTGAACAGCCTTCTGGAATGAATTAAGTTTGAGAAGTGAAGTTCCACTGTAGATCTCATGCAGCATCCCCTAGTCACCCGAGCTGAGAGCTCCAGGTGTGCTGTCCATTTTGGCTGTGTGCACACACCTGGTGTAGTTGAGCCTTGATTGCTGTTGGCATATCAGTGGGATGGATTTTCCTCTAGGCTGACTGGCTGTGCATCCTGGCTGTGACCACTGTGAAGAATCAGCAGTGCAGGGGCCTACCCCACAGAACAGAACTCACTTCACTAGGTCTCAGATACCTGCCAAGTCCACCCCTTGAGTGTGCTGTTTGTTGAGGTGGTTGGGTAGTGCTTCAGAATCTTCTGAAGCTGTCCACTGTATGAGCTGGTTCTGGGGCCTTCTGGGAGGTGTGGGTCAAGGTCAGCTGCCACCTGTGTCCTTCCCAGGGCCACCTGGCATGAGATCCAAAGAAATCCACAAATGGCTGCTACTTATACTGGGCTTGGAGGTGCCTGGAAAAGCCCAAGCTGAGAATTACAGCCAGCAGCCTCTAGCACTGAGCTTGGAGTCACTTAGCAAGAGGTACAGGGCATGCTGACTTCAGGTGCTGCTTGTTTGAGAGATTTAGGAAAGTTGGCATCATGAGCCAAGAGAGATCATTAATATGGAAATGCACTGGAAAGGGCTTGGGTGGGTCACAAGTTGGGTGAAGCTGGGTCTCTGGGAATCACCTGGGTAGGGCTAACAGTGTTGGGTTGATGGAAACTCAAATATGGTGCCTGTCTGCTAGCTCTGCTGGGGAAGGGCTCAGCAAAGGAACAATGGCCTCTGCCAGCACTTCTGTCTGGGAGAAAGCTGCCGCTCCAGCTCTCATCCCAAAGCCAGACAATTCCGTTCCTCCCATATGTCCCTGGCGCCTTTAAAGCTGCTGCCCAGTGCTGGAGCTCAGAGCGAGTGAGACCTAGAAAGTCTGCGTGTGGGCCCTTTAAGAGGCTGGTGACTCCAGAAGACTTCATCTCACTCGGCGACAATCTCCGCTGGTTTTTATAGCCAGAAGTTCTGGAGATTTCTCTACCTGGCACTGGAACTCTGGGCTGAGGGTTCTGGTGTGGGGCTGGAACCTCTGGATTCTCAGCGGAACCTTGGCAGCCGAATTATTCCTCCTAATTTTTAATTGCCACATGTGGGTGTGGTGCCAGCCTGTTATGTGTCTCCACCCCTCCTGCCAGACTTGATGTGGTTTCTTCTTTATACCTTAGTTATAGGACTTTTGTTCAGCTAGATTTCAGGCAGTTCTGAATGATGGTTCTTCTGTAGTTTAGCTGTAATTTTGATGTGGTTTTGGGAGTTTCCAAGTACACCACCATCTTGATTGGAAGGCAGATCTACCTTATTTTTAAGGATATACTGTAGCTGCTTAGTCTCATCATGAAGACTCAGTGTCAGGCTCTCTTCTCATTCTATGTGTTCTTCCCAAGTCAATGACTTGTACCTTTCTATCTCCAGCACAGATTTTTTTTCTCTGAACTCCAGAACTGCAGGGCTGACTCAGAACCTCTACCTACATAGCTGAAAGCACATGAAGTTTAATGTCCAAAATGAGGCTTTGTTCCTCGGATGAACATCTTTGGTGTTCTCAATTTTAGTGTACAGACTTCCATCCATGAGCACTTGGCTCAAGCCAGACTAACTAGATCCAGAGAGCAGCCTCTTGACCCTTGCCTCCCCTCTACATTTATTTAGGGAATACCATTGCTTTTACTTCTTTATGGAAGCTACTGTCATGTCTCCCAAGGACCACTCCAACAGCCCCCTGACTTATCTCCATGCTTCCATTCTTGACCCCCTTTAATCTGTTCTCACAGCAGCTACAGTTTTATCTCCCTGCCTAAAACTTTTCTATGGCCCTACAGGATCTGGTCCCTGTCTACCTCTCCCACCTCATCTTCCCATCAGTCCAACAAATACATCATTTGCTCATGTTTCCAGGGTTTACAGATATTAGTCCCTTAGTTTAGAATGCTCTTTCTTCTCTTTACATGATTACTTTCTCCTTACTCTTTAAAGCTGAACTAAAATATAATTGCAGCAAATAAATCTTTCCAGATCTTTCCCCTCTCCCCTCCAATTATGGCCAGTGGCAGGGCCCACTATGACTATGTTCCTCTGTCAGATTCCCCGCACTATTGTCAGTTAGTAGTCAGCAATGAGAAGGTTACTTCAAGGACATATATCTTTGTTCACCAGTATGTTCCAGGTATCTAGAAGAGTGTCTGACACATATTAGGTGCTCAATAAAGGTCTGTTGCATGAATAATCAAGGGATAAACCCCCACCATTTTTCAGCCAGCCCTATGACCTTGGAAAAGTCACTTACCATTCCTGATCCTGTTTCCCACTGTGTAAAGCAGAGTATGTAATTCTTTCTATCCAGGTAACTTGTGTACACTGCCTGGCACCCAGTGGGCCCACAGAGCATGTTTGTTTGTTCACATTCTTATACTGAAGCAATGGAAGCCAGAGGAAGATACTAAATCATCCCAGGGTGGTGAAGGTTCAGGAAAGACTTTCCAGAGGAGGTGGCATTTAGTCTGATCTGAGGAAAGAAGGAGGTCTAGACAGAATCCACAACCTGCACAGATGCTCAGAAGCTAGGGTATACCTGGGCACACACAGGTTGGTGGCCCTTGGCACTGGCGCTTGGCTGCCCACCTTGCAAGCCCTCCAGGCGGAAGGTGCGGTGCTCCACAGATAGGCCAACAGCACTGTATGGGCCATAGCGCAAGATGACCACCGCATTCTTGGGCATGGCTGGACCTCCTGCCAGGGCTATGATGCAACACACACTGCTAGGTAACTGCTCTTCAAGCCCTTAGGAGTGGGCGTGGCTGGGCGTGGTCGGAGTGGGTGAAGGTGGAGCTTGAGGATCCTCCATACCACTCTGCTTCTCCCCCCCCCCC